CAGTTGTTGCAGCTGCTGCTGCTGCTGCTGCTGCTCCAGTTGCTGCAGCTACTGCAGCTGATGCAGCTGCTGCAGTTACTCTCGTTGCTGCAGCTGCTGCAGCTCATGCGGAATTGTTTGTTTGTCTGGCGCTGAAGGGGACTGTGCTGCGTTATGCTTCGACTTGTTTTTGTGTTTGTTTTTTTTTTATTTATTTTAGTTTTTTTAGTAGCAACAAGTAGCAATAGGAGATATTATAAAAAGAATAAATAAAAACAAAACAAAGGAAAAAAAGAAAAAGAAAAAGAGTGGCTGACAGCACTGCAGCAGCAACAGCAACAGCAGCAGCAGCAGCAGCAGCAGTGGAGTATTCAATACATTACAGTAGCAGCTTTTTGCTTGGTATTAACAAACTTTAATTTAATTTATTTTTTTGTTTTTTTTATATTTGCTTTTTCTGCTGCTGAGGCATCTACCCACTATAAACACTGTGCTGCTTCAGTGTTTATATCGTACTACAGACTGCTGCTGCTGCTGCTGCTGCTGATGCTGCTGCTGCTGCTGCTGATGCAGATCGTGCTAGCATTGCTGCTCTCTCAGGGGCTATGGGGCTCCTCCTGCTGTTGCTACAGCTGCTGCAGCAGCTGCTAGGGTTTAAATAGTGCTGCTGCTGCTGCACTCGTTGTGCTTTTCTCCTAAGTAAATAAATATAAATCCTACGCCTGCTGCTGCAGCTGCTGCTGCAATATGAATAGGTGGTGCTGCAGCAGCAGCAGCACTAAGCTGCAGGTGCTGCTAATAAACATTTCTGGGGGTAATAGAATACTATAAATAAAAAAAGTAAACAGAAAAAAAAATATAAATAAATTTTTGTAAGCTAAAGATAATATAATTCAATATACCACCACCGAAACTTCTTACGCATAGAAAAAAAATATAATAGACATCTGTAAATATAAAAAAGTATTTTAATAATACTAAGCATATATATATAAATTATATATATATTTTATATATAAATATATTATATTTATATTTATTTAAATATATATATACTTACATATATAGTTACTGTGTTCTATGTATTTGTCTGGCTGCGCCGCCACGGGGTATCGATGGGTGGTGTATGTTCTTTGTATCTATGGATGAGTTAATAGTAAATAAATATCTCTTTATATTTTTTTAATTTATTTTTAAATATAATAAACTAAATTCTATAAAGAAATCATAAAGACAGGCTGCTCTGTTGAGGCAGCAGCAGCAGCAGTTACTGCTGCTGCTGCTGCTGCTGCTGCTGCTGCTGCTGCAGCAACAGGGAAAATCATATCCGCTGTTTCTGCTACTCCTTCGCTGCAGCAGTAACAACAACTACACAAAACAACTGCAGCAGCAACGGCTGCTGCTGGTTTTAAGAGGCAACTCAGGTGTCGGCTGCTGGCGCTGCTGCTGCGGCTGCAGCAGCAGCAGCAGCTACAGCAGCAGCAGCTACAGGCGTGCAGCAGCGCATCACTGCTTTGATTTCTCTCCCACTATTGCTACTCCTCTGGCTTAATTGCAGCACCTTTTGAACGGGTAGCTACCTCTTCTGAGCCTATGTTCCCTGCTGCAGCAACAGCAGTCTGCTGAGAAGCTGCTGCTGCTGCTGCTGCTGCTGCTGCTGCGCAGGCGCCCG